TTTTCACTACATAGTCTAAACTGGCCTTGAATCTGCTATGTAGCCCAGGCTGGCCTTGAACTTGAGATGTACTAAGGCAGTTCTTGAACTCATGATCTTCCTGTCTCAGCCTCCAAAGGTGCTGCTGGGATCACAGGAGTGAGCTTCATGCATTGTTTTTAAAAGCAAAATAAACTAAAAGATAATGAAATATCATAAGGCATCATACATATTAACAGTGAGTCATTGTTTTTAGAAACTTTTATTTCAGGTACATCTAGTGTCTTAGCCCATTTTCTGTTGCTATAACTGAATACTACAGCCTGGGTGATTCATAAAGAATAGCCTATGGTTATGGAGGTTGAGAATATGGCATCAGTGTCTGGTTGAGGGTCCTCTTGCTGTATCATAGTGAAGGACAGCAGTCACCCTGGTTTTCTCTTCCTCTTCTCATAAAGCTATCAAGGGGGCCCATCCTTATGACTTAATTCTAATTAACTCTCAAAGGTTCCACCTCCAATTACCCTTAACATATGAATCTGAGAATTAAATTTCCAAACACATGATCTTTTGGGGAACACATTCAACCACAGAATATAGATATGCACATGTTTACTGGATAATTTAAAAATATTCTTTACGATGGGTTCCACACAAAAGTTGGAAACAACTTTTCCAGAGCACTGATCTTTGGTCTTATGTACTGCCTGTGTTGAAAGGTCTAGCTCCAGAAATATTTGTAAGCACTTTCTTCTAGCACAGTGGTCTCTCTCACTGGGTCATTCTGAACTTTGTAACTCTACTATAGAGGAAGAGAATACCTTCTTAGTCTCAACAAAAACAATGTGCCCATTCTTAAGCACTTTGCATATGTATTGTTCACTTGGTACTTGAGTATTCTTTTTAGTGACTTTATCTTTCCTAACTACACAAAAAAATGAGTACAGGGCAACTATGGTTACTTATACATATGAGATGCTCTGTCAAAATCCTGAGTATAAAATCCCTCTTCTCTGGCAGATTCATTCTTTTGGAAGCAATGCTTACTGAGCTCTGGCCAAATGAGGGACTAGAAAAGTTTATACTCTAGGCTTGCTTGCCTGGTTAAGGTAATTAACTCTACCACATACTCCTAAGCTATTCTAGAATGAATACTATTAGCTACTGATGGTTTACACGTTTGTTTTAGCATAATTTATAGCACTATAACCTAAGGCTGCATTTATAAGTTTGTAAACTATATTAAACAAAATAAAGCTCTCACTGTTTAATAAAAATGGTTTATCTATTTTTCTTGGAGGCTAGATGATACTCTTATTTGAAACCTATACTGCTTCATAGGAAAAGCTAATTCAAGAATTTCCAGCTTTCTACATTGCTTTAACTTGGTAGAACTCTGTTCATTTACAGAAAGAGTTAACATTCTAAATATGTGGTAAACATATAACTATTATTATTATTATTATTTTTTTTTTTTTTGGTACTGGGGCTTGAACTTGGATCCTTGCATTTGCGAGGCAGGCACCAGAGCCACTGAGCTAAATCCCTGGCCTTAACTATTACATATTTTAACATGTTGAGATAATAGTATGAAAAATACCACTCTAAAAAGTCAAACATCCTAAAGTGAATTCTCTGCACCTACAAATTCAAACTAAAAAACCAACCAGCCAAACCAAATATTTATAGCTTACACAGAAAACAAAACAAAACAAAACAACAAACCACACTTTTGCTACCTGCTTATTCATTTCAGTGATATTCATCCAGACTTTGTTTAAGCCCAGGTCTCCTGATTCAATCTTCTCTAGTTGCTTTTGTTTGCTGAGAAGTTCTTCATTAAGTTTGGGGATTTCCTGGAATGAGCTTTTCTGATTAGATTCCACTAAAAGCAAACATAAGAAAAATCATAAACACCATACAAAGTTCCCTCAAGATCCCACGATAAAAAAAAAAATTACTATATAGTAAGAAAGCAGATGTATTAAAGTTCATTTTAGGATGATAATGACTAAATTTATATTTATCAACTACATTTTTCTTTTATTTATATAAATGTGTATCCTTAACATGGAACTATTTTAACTGGAGTATGTCACTATCGGCAGTGCAAACTTTAAATTAGGTGATTAAAAATTTTAACAAAGAACATGAGCAGAAAGAATTAGATATGAATTTCAACTCTATAACTTACTATGATTTTGAGTAAATTATTCAAATTCTTTGAATTCAGTTTCCTCATGTATGATTATTAAGAATGTCTGTAAAGCATTTAATACAACTGACTAGATAGACAGTAAGTGATAGATACTGACCAGCTTAATTAAGGAACTCCTCAGTGAAGATTTGTAAACTTACTTCATTATGGTCAAGTGACATTACGAGTTATATATCCAAATGCTAAAATCTATGTTTTCTATCTTAAATGGATCAACTGCAAGGGATCTTATAAACTTTCAGATACTATTACGAAGACTAAGATTTTTAATCTTCCCCAGAAAGTAAATGATGTTTTCTTAAATTTAGAAATCAACCCAAAGTTCAAGATGAAATAGAAAGTAAAAGACATGCTGGTGAAATACAGGGTGATATTTGGACTTTTCTTTGGGAAACAATATTTCTTGAATGGTTTAGAGATTTGCCAGCCTAAAGGCAGAGACCTGTGAGAGTGCTTTCTCTTTTTTCTTTAAAAATCATTTTTCCTTTTAATGGAAAATAAAATATTGATAATGGCTGGTCCTCCAGAATAAAACCTGCATCATTTGTTATAAAAAGTCACAGAATACCTGATTAGTTATTATATGCTTCCTTTAAAACCCAAAACTGGCATGAAGGACCAATATAAAGCAATTTACTAAAATATAAGCTCTAAAACTTGGTTTTGTTTATTTTTATAAGGTCTGCATTGAGAATGCTCAATTTAGGCATTCAATAAATATTTATCACCTGAATAAATCTTTGCTTATCTCTCAACCATATTTCTCCTCACTTTATATGCTTCTTCAATCTAAAAAAGAAAACTCACCAAATAAACCTAGATAAAGAAATTTAATAATGCACGCGCGAACACACACACACACACACACATACACAAAACCTCACAAAAGTTAAAGTTCACTAAATGAAAATTCAGAATTAAAGTTAGATATTTTTGTTCATTTAAAAAAATACTTGCCAAAGGATTTCATTATAAATAAAGAGACTTCCCTGAGTGCTTTTTAATGTAGCAAATGATTTACACATGGTTTGCAGGAATATATCCATTTCAGACAGTGAGAACATTTTACCCTCAGTCTAAACTAATGTAGCTCTTAGGCATGTCACAGAATTTCTTATACATTTTTGGCTGGATTGTAAAGAAAAATCCATCCCACGAGTGTGTTCCATACTCAGGTTGTCACATATCCCAAGAGGTCTCTCTCCTTCCTTCCATATTAAGTAGGAGGTAGACGTGGAAGAGAAAATAAGACAATCACCCAAAGAACCTATAATAATTAACTAATAACTATATAAGGCTGACAAGCTCTGAAAACATCCTGGACCTGAGTAATAGATAAGTCAAGAGGGGATTGTAATTGTTATCTGATTTGGGTCTTTTTAGGAGTGTCAAGCCAAGTCCAGGTACTTTTATTAAATGAGAGGCAGTGTATAGTACAAACAACTTATGATTGTTAATGAATGTTCTTTCAACCTGGAAATCAGCTCATTTAAAACTTAGCAAGTTAATTCTCAAAAGATTTCCTAATTGCTAGGATTAAGAAATAGAAATCTCTGTACACACCCTTCAAGCAGAACAGATATAGTGTGAAAAGCAATATTTTGCATATTTATTCAGTGTCTTTACAGTTTTTTTTTTTTTGGGTACCAGGGATCGAACTCAGGACCTTGCACTTGTGAGGCAGGCAGTGACACCACTGAGCTAACTCCCCAGCCCTACAGTTTTTTTCTTTAAAGACAAGGTCTTACTATGTAGGTCATGCTGGCCTCAAACTTGTAGTAATCCTCCTGCATTAGCCTCCCAAGTGTTGGGATTATAGGTGTGGGCCACCTCATGCTTTTATAGTATGCAATAAACTTTTTCAGTCATTTGTTATTCAGCTCCTACCACGTGCCTAACCCTCCATTTGGCACCAGTGTGTACAAAAGAACTTGAGGCTCTCAGTCTAGAGAGGAAGTGAGGATTACCCTACACTGTGACAGATGTTATAACAGAGGAATGCTCAAAGAGCTTTGACAGTACATATATAGCTTTACACTTTATGGATAAGAAAATGAAGGCTCATAAGGAATAAGTGACTTGTCCAAATTTTATGGCTAGGAATGAACAGCCAGGATTCAAATAGGAGAACCTTCTACTTTTAGGACCTGTCTCTTTTTATTTATCTATTTATTCCTGATGTCACAGACACATTCCCATTCCTTATTAGCACAAGGCAATGTTTAAGGTATGTACAAATTATGAAACCACCCCTCTGCCTATATGGTCACAAAATATGCTTGATATAATAATATTTTCTTTCTTTTCCAAAATTGTTTCCTTTATTCTAATGATTTATAATTGAGTGACAGAGTGGGATGGTTGGGAATAGAATTTTCCTTAGAATAACTGTAGAGGTCTTCTGAAGTACCTGATTCTGGAAAAAGAAAAGTGAACTAAGAGTTTCAAAGAGAGCCAGTATTTTTAACTTAAGGATCAAGTTACTTCTTGATTGTAAAGAAAATGTCAAGCTTATTTGCTTTGCTTTCTATTTCAAGTATTTTGACAATCCCCTTTAAATTTTTTTGAAATAAATAAAAACTGGCTCTAAATTTTTAAAAAAGGTATTAAAAGCCAGATAAGCAGGGTAGTCTTATGTCAGTGAATTCCACTGTCACCTTGAGAAATAAGAGGTAAAAATTAACTTACTGAAATATATTTAAAGAAGCATAATTCAAAGAAAGTATTTAAACTTAACAAGATTGACCCCATTTAGTCAAGATAATTGATTTTCACAAAACACTCTGGGGAAAACAATTCATCATAGTATAGCATATAGCCTGCCCCAGGCCCCATCCTTTACCTTTTCTCAGAAAATCCTGCTTTTAGACATTGCAGGTACTGGAATTCTACTGTATTAAACCAAAGCCAATAAAAGAAAATTGGACTGATAATTTCAAGTCTATTTTACTCAGCTGGCTGACAAATGCAGTGAAGGTCCTAGAGGAATGTTGCTCAGTGGTAGAAAGCTGACCCCAGGATCCATGATATAATTCTTGGCACTCTTACATATACTACTTGAAGGGATTGGTATTAATGAGTACTCAATATTTATTAGATGTACCTGTCCTTCATTTTCCTAACAAATTTCCTGAAAAGCTCAGCTAATGTACAGATTACCTGGGTATCCTCTAAAGATTTTCCCTAAAGTCAAAGAAAAGAATCCCTAGAGGGCAGAACTGAGGAATATTTTGAAATGTACAAATACGTATTTGCTATATGTGATCAAAACAAGCTGTGGCACAAGCCTAGGAAGCCCAGCTAATTATGGAGAGATGGTACAGAGATGTGTTCAGTGATTACTTATGGTTAAACACTGTTTTTGAGAACCTCATTTCCAAGTTATGATTATTACTTACATACAAAGAAAAGACTGGACTTCGAAACACCTGGTAATACTGCAAGAACAGACATTTAAATAGGAAAAAAAGCTATAGGCTACAATTCTCATTTCTTCTTGTACTGTACTCTGATCTGACTGTTAAAACATACAGATCAGAATGATTCTGGCAGAAAACTGTGGGTTACCCACTCCCATTCCCTGACTCAGAAACTCAGAAGAAAACTTAAGTGAGTATTTAAACATTTTTTTCCAAGCAACTTCACTAGACCTACCACTAACATACTAGGGATAAGCTGTCCCTAACTCAGGTTCAGAACTTAAAAAACTTTAGGTATCAGAGAAAAGCTGGGATAAAGGAAAGGCAGGATGTTGTGATCTCCTAGGCTTAAAACAGGAATTTCAGTATTACTAAAAAATAGTACTTAGGTTAAATTTTGTAGAAGCTACTGTGTAAACATATTTTTCAGAAACACAAAAATGACAATTAGAATAGATAATACTTTGTGACTGGAATCATCCCTTACACCTTAAAATGCACTCATAAGGCAAATATTTCTGCTAATTGTGTAGTGTTCAAGGTAGGTGCTATTATGGTTATGGCAAGCCCTTAATGAATATGTGATTTAGTTCAGAAGTTCAAATGTTTTCTAAAACTTTAAAGTGATACACTCCTTCATGGAATTTGAAGTCTTCCCCCTTGAAACAGAGAAAGTCACAAACAAGCATAGCTAAAGATAGGGACAGAAATCTTTTTTTCCTTGCCCAGGCTGGCTTCAAAGTGATCCTCCTGCCTCAGCCTCCCATGTGCTAGGATTACAGGTGTGTGCCATCACACATAACTTGAGAAATCTATTAATTTTTGCACTATGCTTGAATGCTAATATGCAGAAAAGCAGCTCTTCTAACATTTCTACTAGATTTCTCTTAGACTACTCACCCAAGCTGATACCAAAGAAATCTATGGTCACAGCCACTGTGAACTGTAATGCACTACAGTAGCTGTTATAAACATAGGCCTGTACAGCAAGGGGGCAAGAGAGCATCTATAAACAAGTCTCAACTTTGCACACTTAATCATTGATCATGTCACTTAGTCCTTCTAAGTCTTTTTATTTTTAGGGGTTTTTTGAGACAGGGTCTTACTACGTAGCCCAGGCTGGCCTTGGAACTTGCAGCAAGCCTCCTGGTTCAGTCTGCCAAGTGTTTGGATTATACACATGTGCCACCATACCTGGCAACTTTTTTTTTTTTAAAGAAAAAAATGATTAAAAAATAATACTATTTTGGGGATAAAATGATTTATTTGTGACTTGGCATACAAAAGGCATTCTGCATATGTTGACTATCACTATTACTAGTGCTCATTCCTATGTCCAACATGGTGTTTCTTAAGTGGAAATAATCTGACAGTCCTATATTCTTTTGCAATTGGCCCAGTGAGGTGTAAGAAAATAGCCCAAGGTTGCCATTGTTACAGGTAGAGGTTAACCAAAGCTCTAGACTCCTGAAGTACTCTCTTCTGTACTCTAAGAGATGACTGGGATGTCATTATTTCAGATGCTAAGCCAGGCATGGTGGTGCATACCTGTAATCCCAGCACTAGGGAGGCTGAGACAGGAGGATCACCACGAGTTCAAAGCCAGCCAGAAGTATATAGCAAGACTCTATCTTAGAAACTACTTGTCATGGTTATGTATGAACACTGTCTTTGCTTATGGGTTTACAAACAAATAATTGTTACACACTATTCAAGCTGATAGCTGAAAATGAGGATAGAAGTGATGAAAAGATGAGGCAAAACTCTTAATTCAGCATGGCCCACTTTTTCCTACAATCTTAAAAAACAGTTCAAAATTACGCTTTGAAAAGGGGACCACTTACTTGTTCTAAATTTTTCCTTGAGGGCATCCAGATCCTCCTTGAGAGCAATTTGCATCCATACCAAGCCAACACAGGCCACAACACAGGCTGCGAGGATTATAAAAGCACAGAGGGGATAACAGATCTTGCAGCATCGTAAGTAGTCTCCCCTATAAAAAGAACAAATTCAACCATCAGTATGAAAGTGACTATGAGTAGTTTTATAGAAACAGTATATGTATTGGCATGCAGTAATCGCCTCTAATGAATGACTAGTAGATTTACCAGAGCAAATAGGATAATGCACTTACATTTAAATAGTAAAAGGTTAACGAAATACATAATGTGGTCTATGGAAAGTTGTATTTGTTTTAAACTTCATAAGAAACTTCATAAGAGGCTCTATGGGCATGGGAAACACCTGTGGGCCCTGCAGATCACTACCATCATCATCATTTCAGGAGGGAGGCCTTCCTAAAAAAGCTCAGTTGGAAAAGTGTAAAAACTAGCAGTTCTCTGCAATTCCATCACTGCACTGTAATTTACCTATTTATCTCTTTCAAATAAATGCCTTCTCAGTTTATTGAAATTTCATAAACTTTTGGGCAAGTCTTAACTGTAGACGCAATGAAAGAAAGAGGATCTGTAAGTTTTAGAGAACACTTGGTATCCTCTAGTTCCGTGATAATTTTTTAGAGCTTTCAATAACAAACAGCTGGCTGCGGCATGCTTGCCATAGGTTTCCATCGCTGCTCTAGTTGACTCAGAAGGAAGAAAACAGAAACAGGCGAGATTTCACACTAAACCTCATCCAGCCTTCAAAGTCTAAACTAATGCAAGTAAGTATTCCAGAATTAACAGTTCATCAAACCTTCATACACTACACACAGCATTGGTCTTGCTACTTAATTTGGCAAAGCTCACTAGAAACCAAACTCTTTAACAAAAAGGATAGAGACATTCCAAACAACAGGAAGATCTAATATCTTTTAACACCATAACCTTCTACCTAGTCTTTGCTTTCACATAGTAGAATATTCTTTAGTGTGCTAACAGGGTCCAAGGACACCATCGAGGTTGCCTTTAGTTCTTTCCCAACCTAAACCCTGATTCCCAACATCTTCCAAAAATGGCTTGGGAAAAAAATTGTTTTTTGACCCTAACCTCCTAGCTACTCTCAAGGCTTATACTTTCTACAGTGTGTCCCCCTTCATATTACCCTATAACCAAGATTCAGATTTATTAAGAGTACAAAAAATAATTAGCAATCTTAAGGTCCTTATTTTTTTTAAGGCCTAATCCCAAAAGCTTCTCTGCTCCTCTATTTTTAGCCTTGTTCTGATGCCCTGGGCCCTTGGCACATTGCCTAAATACATATCTATCCCTACCCTAGATCTGGAGCTGTCCATTTTACACCTAAAGACTGCGCTCTAATTTACCCTTCATTCAGAATGTGAACTCGCCTCTCTGACACTTTTCTCCTTGTTTGCCTTCCAAAGTCTACCTCCCTTTCTCTTCCTATGGACTCCCTTCTCCTTCCCATCAATTCCTGTTAGCAGAAGAACAAGGAGACAGCTTTTGCTCATCCCAGCCCTCACTACTGTATCACTTACTTGACAAAGCGAGAGCGATTTCCAACTCCATCAAATTCCTCTTCCTCCTCTGAGGTGGACTCGGAGTCTGAGTCAGGAGGCTCAGTGCGAAGAAGGCGGTGGCTGCTGGAGCCTTTCTTGGGCTTCTTTCTCCTGCTGTCTCCAGCCAAACCGATCAATGCATTGAGCTCTTTGCGTTTTTTCATCTTTTTGTGTGGGGTTAGTGGAGCACCCACTCCTGAGCTGCCAGGTTCGTACCCAACGCCCAATTCTCTTGCTGCCTTGGAGCCGCCTTCCAGGGTGGGAAATCCTGGGCCAGAGCCCCCCTGGTCACTCCCACCCAGGGGTGGAACTGACCAGACCCGCTGGGAGCTGGAGAAGAAAGCCCAGAGGAAACTGGAACTCAGATGAGCGGGGGAAGTCACATAGAGATCGGCAAGGAGCTGGTGGCTGAAATGGATAAAGCCCTGGACATGGAGTGTCAGTTAAAAGTGTAGAGAGGAGCAGGGGAAAAGAGTGGAAAAAAGCTGACTGAAGAATTAAAGATTCGCAGATCTGTTAAGTTCAGCAATATTTCTAACAGAGCTCCAGAAGCTAGGGAACACACAGGATATGTGCTTTGGACCTCTGGGACAAGATTTCCAACAGAGAGAAAAGAAACTTGTTCTTGACTGGGAAGGCAGACTAATGCAAAGTAAGACAGTAGAACTCTCTAGTCCCTGGCAGGAGAGGTGGCGGTGGTGTGTGTGGTGCCTAGCCGACACAACCCCGACACTGCCTGGCGTAGAGAAAATGCCTGGGTAGGAAGTCAGCTGGGGTTAGGGAGGATCTTTCTTTGGCTTCCGTCCTGAGTTTGAAAGAGCTTGGCTCGAAAGTATCCACCCGAGACGAGCCAGTTCCGCGCCTGGGAGACCCTAGTCCTGCTGTCGGGGCCCGGGGGGAGGCGGGGGGGTCTGGTACTGGAGGGGCGACAGCCACTCTGCCCTGAGATGACACAGCAGATGAAACACAGGGGGGGGGGGG